AGAGCTGGATGAACACAGCAGGCCAAGCAGCATCAGAGGAGCAGAAAGGCTGACGTTTCGGGCGTAGACCCTTCATCAGAAAAGGATGAAGGGTCTAGGCCCGAAATGTCAGCCTTCCTGCTCCTCTGATGCTGCTTGGCCTGCTGTGTTCATCCAGCTCTGCACCTTGTTGTCTCGGATTCTCCAGCATCTGCAGTTCCTACTATCTGTGAGAGTGTAAGAATGTTTTTAAGAGTGGGTAGCTCAGTCTGAGATTGGGTGAGTAAGTGTGAGTGGGAGGTGAGGTATTATATTGCTGCGCATGGACAGGTACGTGTGTGAGTGTGTAAGTGTGTGAGAGTGCAGTGCAGAGTAGTGTCTATGAGAGCGGGTGAGTGGTTGTGAGTGTGTACATCGGGGGTGTGTCAGTGTGAGTGATTGAGTGTGAGCACCTATGTGATTGTGTGTGAAGGTGTGAGTATGTTGGGAATATGTCATGCAGTCATAGAGTCATACAGCACAGAAACAGGCCCTTCACTCCAACTTGCCCAGACTTCCTAAAGTGAACCAGTCCTGTTTTCCTGCATATGGCCCCTATCCCTGTAAGCCTTTCCTATCCATGTAGCAGTCTAGATGTCTTTTAAATGGTGTAAATTGTACCTGCATCCACCATTGTCAAATAAGTATCATTTCAAAGATATCCCAGAAAATTTGTAATCCAATCCTACAATGGCTTTCTACGGCCATCTTTCTGCCCAGAAAATCAGTCTCCACGGCAACATGAACTGCATGGTGTTATATCCAGGCAAAATTGCTCAGTAACTGCTAGATACCCAACTCCATTCCAACTTGGAATGAAATAAACAGTTTAAAGTATCACGATGACACAAATCTACCCACAATGAGTACAAATCCAAACTCTTTATTCATTCATTAATGGGATGAGGGTGTTGCTGGCCAGGCAGCATTTATTGCCCAGAGGGCAGTTCAGAGTCAACCACATTGCTGTGGGTCTGGAGTCACATGTAGGCCAGACCAGGTAAGGATGGCAGTTTCCTTCCCTAAAGGACATTAGTGAACCAGATGTGTTTTTCCCCAACAATCAGCAATGGATTCACGGTCATCATTAAATTCTTAATTCCAGATATTTATTGAATTCTAATTCCACTGTCTGCCGTGGTGGGATTTGAGCCTATGTCCCTAGTATTTTATCTGGGTTTCTGGATTAATAGTCCAGTGATAATACCACTAGGCCATTGCCTCCCTCCTGAAACAGAAAGCACTGGACCAATTCAACATGTCTAGCAGCACCTAACCACATTGTTCATCTTGCTGGTTGAAGAGACCTAGTCTGTGAGGATTTAAAGGAGAATTTGCCTAGCTTGGGCTAGAGGGAAGGGATCTCTATTGTAACCCTTACTGTGACATCTGTACAATTAGAAATGGAGACAGAAGCAGAGTGAACATAATGAATCTTCTTCAGGACACAAAGGGTTGGAATGTGAGATAACAAGGTGTAGAGATAGTAGGAACTGCAGATGCTGGAGAATCTGAGATAACAAGGTGTAGGGCTGGATGAACACAGCAGGCCAAGCAGCATCAGAGGAGCAGGAAGGCTGACGTTTCGGGCCTAGACCCTTCATCAGAAATGAAAAGTAGTGTTTTATATCCCTATTGATAAAGAGGGAGGAGGAGCAAATGGAACTGATTATGAGGGTGTCCTTAGTGAAAGGTAAATGGAGGAATAATGGTGGTAAATAGAAATGTAAAATGGGTGTAAATGATAGGTGTGAAAAGCAGAAAGTGGGGCCACTCTGCTGACAGCAAATGCAACAAGGCACGGCACAGCCAAGGGAGGGTGGGGTGGTGATAGGGAAGCAAAGGAACAGAGTTTGTACCCTGAAGCTGTGGAGTCCAATATTGAGGCCTTGAGTGGTGAATGAGCTTGGGTTGTTGCTTCAGCTTGTGTTGTATTTTGTTCGGGCGTTGTAGCAGGCACAAGACAGAATGTTAGCGTGGGGGCTAAACAGGGGTTTATTGAAATGGCAATTTACTGGGAGGTCAGGGTCATTCCCACAGACAGACCAGTGGTGTTGCACATGGTGGTCACTCTGTCTCTGTTTGACCTCACCAAGGTAAAGGTGACAGCAATGTGAGCAGCGAATACAATAAGCTGGATTGAAGGATGTATGTGTGAAATATTGCTTCACCTGGAAGGTATATTCGAGGCCTTGGACAGTGAGAGGGGAAGAGGTGAACAGCAGATGTCACACCTTCTGCAATTGCATGGAAGCTCAATCAAGTTGGAAAGGGTAGATACAACAACAAATTCATAGTCTGCATTAGAGATAGTTTATTAGAGCAATATGTAATGGAGCCAATCGGGGAGCAAGCTATCCTGAATCTGGTAATGGGTAATGAGGCAGGTTTAATAATTGACCAACAAGTAAAATATCCTTTAGGAAGCAGTGATCATAACATGACAATATTTAATATTCAGTTTGAGAATGAGAAATTGAATTAGAAACAACTGTTTTTAACTTGAATAAAGACAATAACAATGAAATGAAGATAGCAGTTTTGTTTATATTCATTTGTGGGATGTGGCATCGCTGACTGGCCAGTATTTATTGCCCATCCCTAGTTTCCCCCTTGAGAAGGTGAGGGTGAGCTGCCTGTTTGAACCGCTGCAGTCCTCCTGCTGTGGGTTGACCCACAATGTCCCTCAGGGAGGGAATTCCAGGATTCTGACCCAGTGACAGTGAAGGAATGGCGATATATTTCCAAGTCAGGATGGTGAGTGTCTTGGAGGGGAACTTGCAGGGGGTGGTGTTCCCATGTATCTGCTGCCCTTGTCCTTCTAGATGGAAGTGGCCGTGGGTTTGGAAGGTGCTGTCTGAGGATCTTTGGTGAATCTCTGCAGTGCATCTTGTAGATAGTACACACTGCTGCTACTGAGTGTCGGTGGGGGAGGGAGTGGGATGTTTGTGGATGTGGTGCCAATCAAGCAGCTGCTTTATCCTGGATGGTGTCAAGCTTCTTGAATATCGTTGGGGCTGTGTCCATCCAGGCAAGTGGGGAGTATTCCATCACAGCCACAAAAACAGAAGTTGCTGGAAAAGCTCAGCAGGTCTGGCAGCATCTGGGAAGGGAAAAAGCAAAGTTAACATTTCGGGTCCGGTGACCCTTCCTCAGAACTGATGGAGGCTGGGAAAACGTCAGTTTATATAAACTGTGTGGATGGAGCCATAAGGAATTGCTTAGTGTCAGCGCCATCTTGAATTACTTCTTATGAGCAAAGACTAACAGATAGGGGCTATACTCACTGGGGTTTAGAAGGTGATCTCATTGAAACATATCGGGTTCTTAAGGGGCTTGATAGGGTCAATGCTGAGAGGATGTTTCCCCTCATGCGAGAGCCTAGGGGCAGGGGGCATAGTCTCAGAATAAAGGGGCACCAATTTAAGATGGAGATAAGGAGGAATTTCCTCCCTTTGAGGGTTGAGAGTCTTTGGAATTCCTTGCCACAGAGAGCTGTGCGGGCAGAGTCCCTGTGTATTTTTGAGGCTGAGATAGATAGATTTCAGCAGAAAAGGACGAAAGCAAGGGTAGGGGAAAGTCACCATTATGTCATGGAATTGGAGAGATTGGGATTGTTCTCCGTGGAGTAGACAAGGTCAAGATGAGATTTATTTAGGTTTTGAAAATGTTGAAAGAGTTTGTTAAGAGTAAAAGAGATGAGACCGGTTCCAATGAGAGGGTCAGGAATGAGAGAGCATACAGTCACGTTGAACCAGGAGGGAGCTGAGGGGAAACCTTTCAGACAGTGAGTTATTCAGATGTAAAACCTGCTGTCCGAAGGAATAGCAGAAATCCATCCAGAAAGAATTGACAAAGTGACCACGAAACCTGCAAAGCACACGTGAGGAAGCAGGAGAGAGGTACGTAGTAGAAAACTCTTTCAGAGAATAGGCACAGCACAATGGGCTGAATAGCCTCCTCATTGCCTCATTATCCAATGAGTCTGACACGAGGAGCATGAGCAAACAAACTGGGAGCTGGAGCTGTCTTTACACAGAGCAGGGAAAGTTACTGCTTTATGTCCATTTGGACAGACCAACTTGACATTTAGAGGTGTGTGGGCCCAGTACAGTTACACTGGGCCCAATGGCCTTACATGGTACTGCAATTGTCTCCAGTTAAATGGAATGCCAAAACGAGGCAGCTACTGAAAGAAGAGTGGCATGGTGGCTCAGTGGTTAGCACTGCTGCCTCACAGCACCAGGGACCCAGGTTCAATTCCAGCCTCAGGCAACAGCCTGTGTGGAGTTTGCACATTCTCCCTGTGTCTGTGTGGGTTTGCTCCGGTTTCCTCCCACAGTCCAAAGATGTGCAGGTTATGGTGGATTGGCCATGCTAAATTGCCCCATAACATGTGGGGTGGAACAAAAACAGAAGTTGCTGGAAAAGCTCAGCATCTGTGAAGGAAAAAACAGAGTTAATGTTTTGGGTCCGGTAGCCCTTCCTCAGACCTCAGTTTTGGGTCCGGTAGCCCTTCCTCAGACCTCAGTTTTGGGTCCGGTAGCCCTTCCTCAGACCTCAGTTTTGGGTCCAGACCCAAAGCATTAACTCTGTTTTTTCCTTCACAGATGCTGTCAGACCTGCTGAACTTTTCCAGCAACTTCTGTTTTTGTTCCTGATTTACAGCATCCACAGTTCTTTCGGTTTTTGTTGGGTAGTGGGATGGGTCTGGATGAGTTGCTGTTTGGAGGGTCAGTGGTAACTCGAAGGGCTGAGCTCCCACACTGTAGGGATTCTATGCTGCTGATTTCCACAACACAGTGTTTCTGTCTCTCTCACAGGTTTCGGGGCTGTCCTCCAGGGCAGCATCTTTGGCTTGGCCGGGTTACTGCCTGCTTCATATACTGCGCCGATCATGAGCGGGCAGGGAATGGCAGGAACATTTGCAGCATTCGCCATGATCTGCGCCATCGCAAGTAAGGAATGGCAGGTGGAGAGTCAGGAGTCAGCCCCTCACCATCACCAAGCACCGGCCCTGAAAATCCGAGAACACAGCCCCTCACCGTCACCAAACACCAGCCCTGAAAATCCGAGAACACAGCCCCTCATAGGGAGCGAGGATCACTCCACAGCATGGTCACAGACAACCCGATCCCCTCCCAAAGGCTTGGGAGGCATTGCAAGCAGAAACTGTCCTGGGGTGGGGGGTTTGATGGAAAGTGTAGAGGGAGCTTTACTCAGTATCTAACCCCGTGCTGTCCTTGTCCTGGGGATTTTTGATGGGGGACAGTGTAGAGGGAGCTTTACTCTGTATCTGACCCTGTGCTATTCCCTGTCCTG